GCATTAGTGTAGTGAGAGAACAAATGGAACTTTTGGTGGGGAGTTGTAAAGCCACACGCGTACTCATTCTGAATGAGTTATTAGAGGACTCTCCTGTACTAATCTGAGAATGATTAAGAGTAGAAAGATAATTTAATGCATGCAATTGAGTGTGAAGGGCAAGTGCATAGTTTAGCATGCAACATATTAAAAAGTTTGAGGGTACTAAGGTAGGTCTTAAAGTTCTCCTATAGTTGTATTTTAAGTACTATCCTTATGCGAACATAAAATAAAAAATAATATGAGGAAGAGAGGAAAAACATAATTCAACTCTTGCACTTGAGTGCAATTGAGATACACCTAGCATATACTATAATGCTTCACATAGTAACACACAACAATTAAATTGTATAGGAATGCACAGAAGAATACTGATTATCCTAACAAGACTTTAGAGATTAACTAAAATTTGAGGATGTTACATTTCATGCCTTAGTTTCAAAGTACAGATGATTTTTTTCATCTTTAGTGTTAGTCAATGAGGTTACACGCTAAATGGTAGGCCGTTACAAACATATATTTTTGTTTGTAAATAGTTATATGAAGGGTCAGAAATATGTTTCAAAATACAAACAAATTTTTTCATGTGTAACTCTAGTTTGTGATGTTACACGCCAAAAGGTAAACTTTTTATAGACAAATTTTATAGATGGATTTATAAACGGATTTTCTAAAAAATTAATTTTTTTTTAAATTTGTCTATAAAAATTGTGTGTAATAAGCATGTTTCTAGTAGTAAGCAAAATAAAATTCATTCAGAACTAATTTAATTACCATGGTATTGGACATATCAGCTTTGGCCACCAAGATGATGTCATTAGTAAAAAAAAGATAGGAATCCCAAGGCCTGAACTACTAGAGGCAAAAGGAGACCATTCCTTACTCAAAATTTTGTCCTGAACTAAGTGGACCAGCCTTTTAATGCATAAGAAAAAATATAAAGGGATATAGGATCTCCCTATCTGATACCCCTAACATGGTTGAATTTTGTAGTCTTAGAGCCATTCTAGTTAATATACCTTGAGGAGGAAGATATACATTGATAAATGAGCTCAATAAGTTCAGACCAACTTTTTGAAGAGTATTTTTAATAAAATGTCAATTCAGCTTATCATAAGCCTTTTAAAGATCTAGTTTGATAATCACGTAACCACTTTTTCATTTTTAATTATAGAAATAATGTAAAATTTGTTGAAGAATTAAGTAGTTATCAATTCTTGCCTCAGGAATGAAATTGGTTTGGTTGGGAGAAATTAGGTAAGGGAGGGACTTCCTAATCCTATTAGCAACTAACTTGGTAATAATTTGATAACTAACATTACATAAAAAGATAGGCCTAAAGTTTCTAATGGACTCAAGGCTATCAGATTTTGGAATAAGAGTAATAACAATTTCATTAACCTTAACAATTTTATTGGGGTTGTTAAAAATATCTAAAATCAACTTATAAATAAAAGGAGCAAAAAATTCCATTGACTTTTAAAGAATAAAGCATGAAGGCCATATGACCCAAGAGATTTAAAGTTTCATATGCTAAACACGGAGGTCTTAATCTCTTTTAAGGTGAACTCAGAATATAATCTAATTTTGTCAGACTCCTTGAAAGGAGGAAATCAATTAACAATATATACGGAAGATTGTATTAGAGTTGTTAGTAAAATAGAGGTTTAACACCAAAAAGTTGAAAATAATCTATTTAGGTTTCTTTGTCTACGAATAATGACAATTTTATGAAGAATTTATTGTTCCTATCCCAAATTTAATCCAATTAGTTATGTATTGATGGAACCAAAATATTTCCTTTTGATCTAGAATATTCTGATATTCTCTTTAGAGGAACATCATAAGTTTATATTAAAAGGGATTATCATTATGACCTAATTTACAAGAGATACCCTTTATTCTATTTAAATTTTTTTATATTCAAGATATTACCAAAAGTAGTTTTGTTCCATTCAGATATAATGTCCCTAAAATGAGCAATATTATCAATCTGGGATCTAGAAATCACCCAAGAAAACCTAACCTGATTATGAAAATCACTATAGAATAGCCAAGGTGCAAGGAATTTGAAAGGTTTTTCACTTATCTAGTCATTATCTTTATTTCTAATTTTAAGCCAAAAAATTGCATGATCAAACTTAGGGATAGGTATATGAATCAGGGAGCTTTTTTGAGATAAAAGTCTTCAAAAATCATTAACAACATCTCTATTTAACCTTTCTTTAATGTTGCCCCACTACCAAATAAAACGGTTACCTTTGAACCCAAGGTCATGCAGACCATAATCATTCAAAAACTCAGTAAACTGATTTACTACATTTAGATTTATAAGTCTATTAAGTTTGAAGCTATTTGTATAATTCCTACCCTCCTATTGTTCTATAATTGTTTCTCAAATCCAAACATCAATTTAAGGGTGTATTAACTCTCCTGAATTTTGAAGTATGCTGTTGTGATCAAAGCAAAGTTTATTTAAAGGTTCAATTTGAGCCCTATTAATCTTTTCTTTAGTTGGTTTTTGAGGTTTTGGAACATGTTTAGTTTTAATAACTTTTTTAAAACCATTGCTTAGGTTAGCCCCATTAGGATTCTTATCAGTTTTCCCGAATGACCTAAGTTCCTCATAGAGCATCTTATTTTTATTATAACTATCTAGATTCTTATCACTAGCATAACATATATCCTGATCCAATTCCTAAAGTGTATTACCCAAAATTTTAAACTTGGAACTTGAATGAGGTTTTCTACCTTTACCATTGGAATTGGGATTACTACTTGATTAAGACTGGGCTAACTTCTTCCATAGTGGCTTTTTGGCTAGCATCCAAAGATCAAATTGATCATGGTTCTGTATTGCTTCCTTCTCTCGTCTATCCAAAATTTCTCCTTTAAAGGTATTGCTCTCGCTAACATCCTCACCTTCTAATGGCTTGATCCTTTGATCTAGCTGATCCTGACTATGTCTAACAATTTCACCATAAGACTTTTGTTTATGACATACTTTTCACATTTAAAACAAATGGGTGTAAATTCTTATATTCTATTTTAAATTATTGGCCTATGACTCTAAAACAAGGAATCAATTTCTTTCTTAAGTCTATTTCTATACAAATCCTAGCAAACCTACTTCTGAACAACAGAAAGGTATCAGAATCAATTTTTAGCATTGGTCCCAGGCAAGCTCCCACATCATAAAAAATTTCCATTATAGAGCTCTAAGGGAAGGTTTGAAATATAAATCTAGACTGTTATTTTGCTAAGATTATAGTCCTTAGGCCTAAAAAGAGACCTTCACCTTTGAACAAGGAGATAATGGTCCAATATCAGGTAAGGATTTTCAAACAAAGCATACTTATAGTCCTCTACACTTTCAAATTTCACTAAAAAAGAAATTCATTATCAAGATCAAGAATTTTCAAAAAACCATTTTTACCCCAGATATTATTAAGTTTCTGATTCAAGTAATTAAAATTTATAGACTTTCCTAACAGTTAACTATGAGAGCAAATTTCCAAGGGGAACACCACATTTCATAGTCATCTAAAGGAATTTTTAAATTAGGGCAAAGGTTTTGGAATTTTTTAGACATATCATTGCAATCCTTGTTATCATAATAGATTATTTAGGTCATCTAATACACTGATTTAACTATATCATTATCATTTAAAACCATACCATTATTTTCCTAAGATTATAGTCCTTAGGCCTAAAAAGAGACCTTCACCTTTGAACAAGGAGATAATGGTCCAAGATCAAGTAAGGATTTTCAAACAAAACATATTTATAGTTCTCCATACTTTCAAATTTCACTAAAAAAAAATTCATTATCAAGATCAAGAATTTTCAAAAACCATTTACCTCAAATATTATTAAGTTTTTGATTCAAGTAATTAAAATTTATAAACTTTCCTAACTGCTTAACTATGAGAGCAAATTTCCAAGGGGAACACCACATTTCATAGTCATCTAAAGGAATTTTTAAATCAAGGCAAAGGTTTTGGCATTTTTTAGACATATCATTGCAATCCTTGTTATCATAATAGATTATTTAGGTCTTCTAATACACTGATTTATCATTTAAAACCATATCTAACTCTTTCAATTCAAGAACTTTACCCCTGTATGATTGGGATACAGGAAAAGTAGGTTTAGATAACACTTGATTCATCTAAGACTCAATAAAAAAAATCCTCTTGCATGTTTGTATTGTGATCCTCCAATGATGATTCTAACTCTGTCTTGATAGTTTTTGAGCTATGGGAAGGTAGATCCAACACCTCCATCACTCTTTTCTTCACTTTAGTTCACTCTATCCCTCTATTGTCCACTAAATCAGTATACAAGATGGGATTGGAGATTCTCTTGCGATTCTAATTTTTCAACTTTTCTTTGATGTCAAAGGCAACCTCAAAAGCGAGAGAAACCCTAATAGCTTTGCCTTCTTTACACTCTTGGAACAAAAAAAAAATGTTTATTGGAGGTCGCAGAAACCCTACCATATTTCTAGCTACTCTTTTAATCAATTTTATAAATTGATAATATCATTTTTTTATATAATCATTTAATCTTTAATTATTGTATCATTAAGAATTATTAACTTATATAATAATTACTTTAAAGATTACACATACAATTATTTTTTATTAGCTCAAATGCCAAAAAAAATTTACTCCAATCTTAAACTATTATATATTTTATCTTTATCCTTTGTATATATAGTATAATTTAAAATGTTTTCTCAATATTTTTTAAAAATGAATTTATAAATTTAAAAGGACAATTTATATATATATTTTTAACTTAACAGTTATAATTATTTTAATATTTTAAAAATTAAAAATTGACAATGATTATTCCAGTGGTATAAATACCTTATTGATTTAGGAGTCTATCAGAGTCCCGATAGAAATTACTTTTTTTTTTAAGGTAAAAACTGGAGTTATTTCCCACTGGTTGTTAAAAAGGTTGCATTTTCCTGGTCTGAAACGATACCCAGGAAGGGCAAATACTTTCCTTAATCCGAAACCATTTACATGATTTGACAATCAGAACTACGAGCATAAATCTGTTTGTATCAACCCTAATCTCTTCATTTCTGCACATTTCATTCCCAAAACCCGCTTTCTTTTTCCTTGTTGTCGCGGCACTGTTGAGGAATAGAAGGGGACGAAGGAAATTTGAGGTAGACAATTCCCTTTTTCGTTTCCATATATATATATATATATATATATATATATATATTTATTTATTTTTTTTTTAATTTTTTTTTTCACTTCTGGTTTTTGTCTATCCCTATGATACGGTGATTGATCAGGGGTTTTCTTAGGTTTTGTTCCTACCTTCTTTGCAAAATTCTAAGTCATATTTTTCCCTCTTTTTGATTTGCTATTTCTCTTTGGTTGTACTATTCATGCAGTTTTATTCTATGTGATGTTTAAATCGTATATTATATGGTTCATGTTTGTGTTACATGCAGTGGGCATCAAAATTGACACAGAAGAAGTGAAATCAGCTCTAGTTTCATATCCTCACTGTGAGCATATAACATTATATAGTAATATACTGTATGTAGCATGGGGCACCATTGTATGATGTTCTTTCCATGAGTGAGCATCAAGTGTTTTTTATATGTATGGAAGAATTTGTTTACAGTTTCTGTGTAGCAGTGTGAAATGATTTGAAAGTTATCTAAAATTGAGACTAGAGATTTTGTCTCTGTCAAATCACCTCTCTTGTTGTTCACCATCCTGAACCTTTGTACAATTTGTTGTTTGTTTAAATAATGATTGAAATATGGTTTAAAAATTCTTTAGTTATGCTTTGAATGCATTCCTGACCTAATTGTATTGTGGATTGAGTGAGTTACTTTTATGACCTGATCATGATGAGCCGTTTATGTATAGCATTGCCAAGTGATTTCTGCTTGTATTTGAATCAATTATTTTTCTGCATGACTTGCTGCACTGGTCTTGGTTCGGAAAATTAATCTGAATTTTTTGGAAAGTAACCAGTGCAACTGTATCCTGCAAGGAATCCTCTTTCAAGCAACAGGAGCATGGATGCGCAAGCCAAAAAAAAAGCTCTGTTTCGTGCTAAATTGAATGCCCAGAAGAAGGAAAAACGCATAGAGTCTCCTCTTGTGAGGTTGGTACTTGGTGCGCATCTTGTGCTTTTTCTATTCACAAAATCAATTCTTGTGGCCCATCACCAATTTGCCTATGGAATTGTTGATTTGATATCTGTTATGTTGCATTAGTTTTAAACTAACCCTTCATGGTTTTATTTATTATTCTTCACATAAGAATGACAATTCAGTTCTAAATGCTTTCTCAAGATGATTCGTTTATATATATATATATATTGTTTATCATAAAATTATGCCCATTTTATCTGTATAAATACCCATTATTAATTTGACCGTTTCTGTCTTTTTGTTCTTTTACATATAGGTATAATGAATTTGATCAACCTGTTTGTCGGGTTTGTGATGTTGTTCTAAAGTCTGAGTCTTTATGGGATGCGCACCAAGTTTCTCGTAAGCATCGTGAGGTGATGATGTCAACAATCTTGTTCATGTTATTTATATCTGTTCACACTTTTACATATCTCTCAGTGGCCTTTTATGTTTTTTGGTCAAAACTCTCTTTGAACAGGTTTAGATGGTCTTATTATATTTTCTTTTTGGGGAGTTGAACTAAGGCTTGATTTCCTCTATATTTCACAACGTCACTTTCCCCCACCCCAACTCCAAAATGAGCTCACCCTAAAGGCTCTGATTATTTTGTGCAGGCAATAAGTAATTTGAAAGCTAATGCTACTGGATCAACTCAGCACAAAAGTGCTAAGCCTGGTACTGATACCTCCAAGACTAAACTAGAACAGCCATCAGACTCACAATCCAAACTTCCAGATGGTTCACAAGAAGTGCCTAAACCTCAGTCATCATCGGTGCTTCCACCAGGTTTTTTTGATGACAGTGATGCAAGAAAGATAAGATCTGGTGTGTTTAGAAAATGTTGTACATGTTTATACTCTTTGCTCATTTAAATATACAGTTGCACTTACATTCCACAGGCACTAATAGTAATATTTGTACAATATATTCATATTTTGTATGCGGATATGTAATACTTAGCTTGTCCATTACATAATTAAAATGCATATAAATTTAAGAATAAAATTCCTTTTTCTTTTGTTACTGAAATGATAGAAAGTTTTATGAACCAGTTTCTCTTTTGGGGGTCTCGTTCACAATGTCATTTGTATTCTTATTCTGACACAAGGATTTGGTCTCCTGCCCTTCAGGGGTGTTTTCTTGCAAATCCTTTTTCCAATTTGCATCTTGAAAACCCCTTCTGTATGTCCAAAGCTCTTTCTAAGGTCTAAACTTTTATTTGGAGTGAGTTCTTAATAGAATTAACACTAATGGCATATTACAAATGCTTGTTCAAAAGTGGTCCCTCATTGATTCTTACATTGTATTGTTTCTGTTTCTTTATGAAATTCATTGTTTTGTTCCCTTGTTACTATACGGAGGATCCCTTATCCATTTACTCCCCTCTAATTTTCTACTTTTCATCTTATTGAATTTCTTCATTTATAAATTAACTTTTAAGGGTATGAGATGACATCCATTTGCTTGGATTTTCAGCTGATTGTAGGCTACAGTTGGCATTATCCTGCTTGGAAATGGATTCAACAACTTTGGGTGCTTTTTCATGTTTTCTGCCAAAATTTGTGTTTTGATAAGTAGCAAAAATCATGGAATTTTCAAGATTTTATTGTAGCCATAGATGAACAAGGTTGTTGGGTCTAGAAAGTGGTACAATATCCTCATCTTTCATTATTTGTACTAGGTATATCCAGTTGGTGCTTTAGCACACCTTGGGTCTTCTTGTTGCTACAGTTTTTATAATAACATTGTTTGAACACTTAATATTAACTTATCTTTTGTTTAATTGACATTTTTGCTTCCAGAGAAGGAGTCTTTCCATTTAGTGGACTCTGATTCAGGTAGAAAAGTGGGACTTTCTGCTCAAAGTCAGGTGTTAAACTTGGATGAGAAAGGTCATTTCGGTGGCAATGATGCTGCAAAGTCAAATGTTGATCAAACAACAACAGGGATTAGGCAGACATCAGTTAAGGCTACTGATACAGAGATCAAGCAAGTAAAAGGGATTCTGCCCGAAGGATTTTTTGACAGCAAGGAAGCTGATTTACGCGCACGTGGGATCAAGCCTGTTAAACCAGATATCAAGTGGGTTCCCGATTTATGCTGTTGGTTTCTACTACATTTTAACAGTCATGGGTTTGGTTTGCATGAACGTAAAGACGACCAAAATATACAGATTCTTTCTTGTGGATTGCCCACATTTATTAAAGAAAAAAAAAACATTGAAATTTGTTTTAGCTCTGATCTTATCAACCAGAGTTTGAGTTTTGATGAAACTATAAAGAGATTGAAAACAAGACTAAATCACAACATCGGATGATTGTATATTAACATTGGTTACTCCTCATATAAATGCATTTATCCTGCTGTTATAACCCCATCCTTAATTGACTTTCCCTATTTGATTATTAGCCTTTTCAGTCAAATAAATCAAGGTATAATGGGTGAGGATTTGACTTCCTTAAAGTGAGGGGTGCACTTTAGAGGTATAAAGCAACTATTGATCAATGAGCAGAAAACTCACGACAGTGCACTTTAGGGGTGCACCTTCACTTTAGAGAAGTCAAATCTAATGGGTGAATCCATATTATTGCATGGTGTTTAGATTGTTTGTGTGGCATTGAGAACTACCTTGTATGTTAGTGGTTCTGTATAAAAAATGTCCTTTTCAATTATATGGAAGATTTATATATTGGTTAAATAATTTGGAATATAGAATGACATCATAATCATTTAAATTCTCTTTTAGAGATGAGTACAAGGAATTTGAGAAGTTGATTCAAGAAGACTTGCAGCAGGTGGATGACCGGTTTGAAGAAGAAGAGGTAATGATCATTATTTTCTTTCTGCTATATATTTTACCATTACTTTTTACCTTTAAAATGTATATGATCAATAAATGTGATATATGATCAAATGTTTGTCATCATTATGAGCAGATTGATGCTGCTGAAATGATAGAAGAAGCTGAATCTGTGGAGCAAAAGTAAGTTTTGCTGTCTTATACTTGGGCATGATTTTTTTATTCATTTGTTCTAGTCTCCTGCCTTTACTAAAATTAACTCCACACCTTACCTTCCCTCCCCTCGATATTTTTTTTTTTATCTTTCTGCAGGATCCTTAGGGAGAAGGTGGAAATGTTGAAGAAGAGGAGATTGGAGCTAAAGGCTGCTAAGTCTACAAAGCATAGTAAATCATCTGAGGTTGTAACAAAGGAGCCCAGACACGAAGAGTCGTCCAGTGATGATGAAAGTGGTGAGAATTTTGCTGTGGACTGGAGAGCACAACACTTGTGATTTGTGAATACTTTGTTAAAATTTTGTATTTCTTAAATTTCAAAACTGGAATATATGTACATTCATATCATATTTTGTTTGTACAATTTTATTATCGTTCTCTTATCTATGTTTAGCCAATTTTTTCCCTCTTCATCTGAATTTGCTCAGAGCTTCAACAAACAAGGTGTTTCTCCTTGGTCTTTATTTGGTGGTTGACAAGAGTCCACTTATTGCTGAACCTTAACTTCTTTCATAAGCCAGGGACCTGAAATCAACAGTCAGCTAACTGAGTTCATTGAGAAGGGTTATCTTGCTTGCCCGTTGTTTCTCTATTGTCTTTGGAATGGGTTAAAGGAAGCAAAAAGAAGGGAAAGAAACTATATAACTTTTGGTCTGAAATCTTCTCATTCAGCATAACTTTTGGAACTTGTCACCGGCTTTGGGTTTCCTTTTGTAAACCTTTCATTTCTTTGGCTCGTATGACAATTGATCAATGGGTCCAAGGATTATGATCCCATCAAAAAGAGAAACAAAAAAATGAGCCAGCTGATTAACTTCTCCTAGCACAGCACAAACGAGCCTACACATATTTAACTTCGGTTGCATAGGGTAAATAGTTTCGAAGTTAACTTTTGCAAAAGGCTAAAACTTTGTTTTTCTGTAGGGGCTGCAGAGCAAAAATGTATTGGTCCAATAGAAAGAACTTGGGCTTCTAAGGATTAAACTAGAAAAAGCCAATTGAAAGGGGTTATTATAATATTAATGGGAGTTTGGAAACAGCTTATTTCCCAGAAATAATTGCTTATTATTCAAAAGCTTTCTCATGAAGTTAGAAAAAAAATAAGTTCACTCAATTTCATAAACAATTTTTTTTAAATTATAAAAAAAGTTTATTTTAATATTTTCGAAATAGCTTCCCAAAGAATAAATTTAAACTTGTTTGTACTATTCCAAATATATCCATAAAAATTATTTAATTAATACTGAAAGATGATTAGATAGTCCCTGTAAACTCACCTAACTCTCTTGTTTACCATTTTCATTTATTCTTTTGTGCTTGTATTGATCAAATGATAAATAATCAATTTTCCATTGAGCAAAATTGCTTCGGGCTGTGTTTTATCGTTTTGATATGCTTACTCATAAGATAAAATAAAAAAGCTCAACGTCAGTTACCAGTGTTTGCGGTTCAATTTGGTTAGGTTAAAATATATTATAAAATATGAACCAAACTGATATTTAATGGTTCGCTTTAGATTGATTAATTTAATTTTTATCATTTGTTGAAAATCCTATAAAGAAAGTCTAAAAAGAGGCCTAATCTCGATTGATATAAAAGTTTACCGAATGACAGCATTCATAATTAAAAAAAATAAAATAAAATCACAAGCTTATAATCTTCTTAAACATCATTATTTTCGATATGATTAAATTAAAACATGTCGGTATGTGAATAAAACTCAAGAAAAAAGTTTAGTAGAACTTTTCTCATAATAGATTCACTGCAAAATTAAAAGCACTGAAGTATAGTGCAAAATGACGGTGAAATCATAACAATTAATTAATTTCAGCGTATTTTGAATATTGATCATTATTCAGCTATAGATATTTCTCCCAGGTAAAGATATCTTGATTGATATATTAAATATTTATTAACTAACTAGGTTTAATTTACTTATCATACTTAGATATTTATTACAAAATAGCTAAATAATTTTTTCATAATCATCAAGATTAATTTAAAAAATTTATATTTTTATCAATTATATGTCCTTTTAATGCATGATTAATCTTATATATTAATTTTTAATTATACTTTTAGTCCTTATACTTTAATCTATATGTAAATTGGATGCTCCTAATTTTAATTAGTCATTTAATTTTTTTAATATTAATTAATTTTCACCTCAAAATTCATCTAATATTTAAAATATATATATATATATATATAACAGAAGTGTAACATCTTATTAATTCGTATGATTAGTAAAGAAAAAAATTATATACAATATATAAAGTATAACAAAATCCTTTTTATTTTTATTTAATTATTTTATAGACTATGTTCTTCGTGAATCAAAACACTTCAATGATACATGTTTATTATATTTTTATTAGTTATTAAATAAAAATCTAGAATAAGAGATTTAATTAAAACAATTTAAAAATTATGAGGAGTAAAGAATTCACAATTAAAACGGAAGGAACTGTATAAAATTACACAACATAAAGTAGAGGAGAACAAAAATGCAATGAAGTCTATTTTTTCCTTATTCTTTTTAAGAGCATTCCATATATTAAAATTACACCTATTGCCGAGGCATTTTTGCATACTCAAAGCTGACATTGTATAAAAGCTCATTAACGACTTAACTAGAACCCTTGTTTTGTCTTACTCAAACTTATGACTATATGCAATTAATAATAGTTACCGTGATATTTTTATGTCTGATTTTAGACAAGAATTCGACTAAACCACGCTACATGTTTATGGGTGTCATTATACTATTAGAACCACCTTTACTTTATATTGTTTTTTTGAGAATTACTTTATAATGTAGAGCTTTAATAATGAGACAAAAGTTTGTGGACCTAATTGAATTCTAGAGACCTTGACCTCATCCATGAAGCAAGTTGGTGACCAAAGTAATGGAAGTATGTTGGAATGCAAAAACATTGAAAACTCAGGTTTATGTCTCTGATTGAAGGAGATATTGCACGTTGGTGGTGTTCGTGTGGGATGCACACTCCCTTCCATTATTTAAATTATCTATTTTTCCACTCTTGCTTTTCTCACACCACTTAGTGCTTTCCTCTTCAGCAACCCACTAAGCTTCTTAACTCTTGGGTCGTTTTCTTCATTTTTTTTCCATCCTCATTTACTACTATTTATCCAGTTAAAATAAAATAAAATAATCTGAAAATCAAGTTCTCAAGGTAGAGTACAGACATTGACTTGCAGGGTGTTTCTTTTTTTATGAATTTAATTTAAATATGTTAACAGTATAAAATGTCACTCAATAGTAGATTATCTTATTCATGATATATTTTAATTGATTGATAATGTAATATTTTTTTATTGACGGCATATTGAGATTAAAACAATTTTTAATATTATCTTCCAGTTAAATATCTTTGTATCAATAGAAAAAGTTTGACTATCCTAACTATTTCTGAAATGTATGTTCTATTTAATAATGTATTAATGTGTATTACCGTGTGATTAGATAATTATGTCAATTTCTTGCTTCATATTGTGTAACTTAATTCTATCATGAAATGAAAATTCTAAATTATTATCCAATTTTTGTCGTATAAATGAACCCTAATTTTTTTTACCTCAAATTTCTGTCATTTTTCATATTCTTAATTTTAAAAATACAAAATTTTCTCGACCGAAACTCTTTATCTACATGTACATGAGTGTTTATTTGAATTAATTACGTGGAAATATTTATCTATAATTTTAAAAGTTTTTTTTTTTTTTTTACTTTTTTAGTTTTCCTTAAAAAGTGTAGTACAGTGAAGAAAACTTGTTAAAAATAAATTTTAAGAACAAATATAATTTGGTGTTACACAACAAATCAATCACTAATAATGTTTTAGTGTTTCAAAAGACATGATTGTTAGTTTTCAATAGAATATCTTCCACTATGCTATTGGTGGCCCTATAGCTCTCGGAATGGTGTTATTTTCTTAAAAATAACACCATTTTTATCAAGAAATAACACCATTCAAAAACAAGTAATTCACTAATATTTTTTTAAAATTAAGAGAATTTTGTAATATTTATAAAAAATAACAAATATAACTATATTAAATTTAGGTTAATATATTATTTTTTATTTAAAAAATAATTTTAAAGTAAATAATATTTATAAAAATTAATTTCTTTCAAAATTTAATTTCCAAACACATTCTTATTTATTTTACGAAAGAAAGCTGTTGCTCAAATCATGCTGCGGCAGCCTTGGACCTTCCTTTTAGATATGTGTAATCATGGCTACAGATATATGAAAAGGTTTCTTAGTTTCTCATGCATGCCTTCTAACACTATCAAAGTGGGATTAATGTGCGAAAATAATGATCCACAGTCCAAGAAATAAACTAATTAGAATAATTATAAACAATACTCTCTGCTATTAGTGGAGATGATTGAAATCAGTGTCTGTTATGGTTCGATTTTTCTTTGAACTAAAGTTATAAATCGTATAGAGAACACAAGCAGCATGGCCTATGCATAGTTAATAAACATAATCGGAACTATATTAAGACACTAAACTAGATGAAAAATATGATAATATATTTAAGGCTTTGTGATTTGAACAATTTTCTTTAACTTGTCCATTTTAGTTTTAAAATTTTTTAAAATTCTTTGAGTTGCTAATTTATAAAAAGTATTTAATTTATTTTTATAATTTTACTGTTATGTTGTATTAAATAAAATTAAAGTGAATGTTATTTTGTAAAATATAAAGTTTTTTTCTTTATCAGTTGAATAGCTAAGCATTTTTATTAATAGATTACTTTATATTCATTTACTGTAACAATTTTTTTGAGGAAATGATGTTTTACTCCTAAATATTTTTAAGACAATAAAAATGAAAAAAAAAAATGCAACAAACACTCAGGAGATTTGAAAAATATTCTAAACAAGTAAGGAACACTTGCCTTATAAATATTATTTCTGATTTTATTTATAATAGTTACTAATATTTTTTTTATCCAAGTGATAGGAAATAGAAACTCATTTGTAAATATTAATAGTTAAATTTTTTATATACTTCTATTAATTGTAAGTTTTGTATTATTAAGGTACTCATCTTTTATTCATATACATAAACACATTTTTTATTGGTCTTAATAAATTTTATATATATATATATATATATATATATATATATATTTATAAAGAAGATGATTGGAAGTAGAATATGATAGATTTAATATGTTTTTATGATTTTGATTTTAGTCCTTTTCTAACATATAACCCTTGCTTTTTAAATTTAAATATTTTGGTTTTTTTCACTGACGTGACTCAACAATAAATTGATCATTAAATATTTGTAAGAAACTAAAGTTAAAATTTTACCAAAATATTGAGACAAAAAATATATTATTATATTTTTTTAACTTTTACCTTTTTATTTG